TCGGCCTCCCACACCTTTACCCTTGACTCGGGGGCTTCTCGCTCCTTCTTTCGAGACCGCACCACACTCACGCCGCTTGGCCGGCCAGTTGCGGTCTCTCTGGCAGACCCCTCTGGGGGTCCTGTCCTTGCTCACTTCTCCACTGTCCTCCCGTGTCCGGCGGCCCCCTCTGGCACCCTGTCTGGTCTTTACCTCCCCTCGTTCTCTACGAACTTGGTGAGTGGTGCTGACCTACAGGATGCGGGGGTTCACCAGTTCACTCCTGCGAGTCAGCGGGTGACCCACTGCACGGACGCTCGGACAGGCCGACACCTGGCCACGTTTACACGTCGGCCGGGGTCGAGCCTGTACAACACTGACCACTGCGTCTCCTCCGGTCCCTGCGTCTGGTCAGGTAGCTGCGTCGGGTCAGGTGTTTGCTGCAGCGTCCAGGTCTGGTCCTGAGTCTGCCCCCTGCTCGTGTCGCCTCCTGTCTCACGAGACTCTCCTCTGGCACCACCGCCTTGGTCACCCCTCCCTGCTTCGTCTCCGAAGCATGGCCTCCCGTGTCCTTGTCTCTGGTCTTCCCCGGTCCCTCCCTCCACTTCCTCCGGGGCCTGGCCCTACCTGCGTCCCCTGTGTCGAGGGACGACAGCGGGCTACCCCTCACTCCTCCCAGTTTCCTCCGACAGAGGCCCCGCTGCAGACGCTTCACATGGACGTGTGGGGCCCGGCCCGCGTCCGTGGACAGGGTCACGAGCGCTACTTCCTGCTGGTGGTTGACGACTACTCCGCGTTACACCACAGTCTTCCCCTTGCGCAGCAAGGGTGATGTCACTGAGGTGTTGATCGACTGGATCCGCGCAGCTCGTCTCCAGCTCAGGCGGAGCTTCGGCTCGGACTTTCCTGTTCTGCGTCTGCACTCTGACAGAGGCGGAGAGTTCTCCTCTGGCCTTCTGCGAGCCTACTGTCGTGCACGAGGCATCCGCAGACCTTCACGCTTCCGGACTCTCCACAGCAAAATGGGATTGCTGAGCGCCGCATTGGCATGGTCATGGACGTCGCCCGTACGTCCATGATGCATGCGGCTGCCCCCCACTTTCTGTGGCCGTTTGCGGTTCGGTACGCGGCGCATCAGATCAACCTTCAGCCCAGGGTCTCCATGCCGGAGACCTCCCCAGCCTTGCTGTGGACGGGGAAGGTTGGCGATGCGTCTGCGTTCCGTGTCTGGGGATCTCGGGCGTTTGTCCGCGACTTGTCTGCGGACAAGCTGTCCCCTCGTGCTGCTCCTTGCGTCTTCCTGGGTTTCCCCCCTGACGCCCCAGGGTGGCAGTTCTACCACCCCACCTCTCGCCGTGTTCTGTCCTCCCAGGACGTCACGTTCGACGAGTCGGTCCCCTACTACCGCCTCTTCCCCTACCGCACTCCGTCCCTCCCCCCGCCACCGCTCTTCCTGGTACCAGGTCCCCCCCCGGTAGACCCCCTCCCCCTCAGGGTCCTGCCCCTTCAGGTGTGTCCCAGGTAGACGCTGTTGAGCCTGTCGAGGTCGCTGGTGACTCTGGTGCTGCTGAGGGTGCTGAGCGTGTGGGTGCTACGCCTGGGGGTGCTGAGCCTGAGGGTACTACGACTGGGGGTGCTGAGCCTGGGGGTGCTGAGTCTAGGGTGCTACGCCTGGGGGTGCTGCGTCTAGGGGTGCTGAGCCTGGGGGTGCTACGCCTGGAGGTGCTGAGCCTGGGGGTGCGGAGCCTGAGGGAGCTGGGCCTGCTGGTGCTGTGCCTGGTGGTTCTCCGGGTGCTTCTTCTCGCCGGGAGCCACTCTCTCCACAGGAGCTGCGTGAGTGGTTTGCCCGGCGCTGGAGGCGAGCTGCTGGAGCTGGAGGAGCTGCGGGTACTGGAGTTTCTGTTGCTGCTGAGGGAGCTGGTGCCACGGGTCCCGGAGGTGCTCGTACTGGGCGTACTAGAGCTGCTGGACCTGCGGGTACTTCTGGAGCTGGAGCTGCTGCGGGTGTTGGCGCGGAGGCTACTGCTGTCGGTCCTGGAGGCGGTCCTGCTGGGGGTACTGCTGGTGCTGCTGGGGGTACTGGAGCTGGAGCTGCTACTGGTGCTGGTGCTGCCCCAGGGGGTGCTGGTGCTGTCCCTGCTGTGTCTGGAGTCGCCGCGCGGCCTCGGCCGTACTTCGTTCCGCTCCTTCAGCAGGTTCTTGGTCTCCCGTCTTCTACTGGTCCTCCTCCTCCCTTAGAGTGTCCACAGCCTGTCCTCCCGTCGCAGTTACAGTTACAGCCGGCCTCCCCACTGCCTGCTCCGTCTCCCTACACTGGTCCTACTGGAGGTCTTGCTGAGCGTCGTGAGCCTGCGTCTCGCCCTGCGTCGCCTGTCCGTGCTGCTCGCACTAGTGGTCGTGGTTCACGTCAGCGTCCTCCTCCTGTCCCTGGCACGCACCAGATGTCTCTGCGTCCGTCCACTGCTCCTCTGCGTGCCCCTTTGCCTTCTCCTCCTGAGTCTTCTTTCCTGCTCTTGCCGACCCGGAGTCGGACTCTCTTCGTGCTGCCAGTCCTACTGTCACGCGTCTCCTTGCTACTGTTGTCACTGACCCTTCCTTTGAGTCCGCTGCTGCGTCTGCCCTAGTTGCTGAGCTCGTCGACTTTGCTGCTCGCTGTCGCCTAGACTACGTCGCCAGTCTTGTTGCTGAGTCTGAGTCTGTCTGTCCTCCGTCCGTCGGGGGTGAGTGTGCCCTTGGCACGGACGTCCTTGAGGACAGGCAGGAGGAGTTCCAGTGCTTGGCCGCTGCTTCACCTCATCTCGTGTCCGTACTGCTTACCCCTGAGGGAGACCCGGATGCACTTGACATCCCGACTCCGCGCTCTTACGCGGAGGCGATAGAGGGTCCCTACTCCTCTCAGTGGCAGGCAGCTATGGACGCAGAGATGGCTTCCTGGAAGTCCACAGGCACCTACGTTGACGCTGTTCCCCTCCTGGGGCGAACATCGTCAGTGGCATGTGGATTTTCAGGGTGAAGCGGCCGCCGGGTTCTCCGCCTGTCTTCAAGGCGCGTTACGTGGCTCGAGGCTTCAGTCAGCGGCAGGGAGTTGACTACTTTCAGACCTTCTCTCCACCCCGAAGATGACCACTCTTCGGGTACTGCTGCACGTAGCTGCTCACCGTGACTACGAGCTACACTCTCTTGACTTCAGCACTGCTTTCTTGCAGGGCAGCCTGCACGAGGAGATCTGGCTGCGTCGCCCACCTGGTTTCACTGGGTCTTTTCCTCCTGGCACCCAGTGGAGCCTACGGCGGCCAGTCTACGGTCTCCGCCAGGCACCGCGTGAGTGGCACGACACACTGAGGACTACACTTGCGGCTCTTGGGTTTGCTCCCTCTACTGCCGACCCGTCGCTGTTTCTGCGCACCGACACTTCTTTGCCGCCGTTCTACATCCTCGTGTACGTCGACGACTTGGTCTTTGCCACAGCTGACACTGCTGGACTCGCCCACGTGAAGTCCGAGCTGCAGAAGAGACACACGTGCACTGACCTGGGTGAACTGCGCAGCTACCTTGGCTTGCAGATCACTCGGGACAGAGCACGCCGCACCATTACCCTGACTCAGTCACACATGGTGCAGCAGGTCCTTCAGCGCTTCGGCTTCACGTACTCCTCGCCTCAGGCCACTCCTCTGCCTACTCGCCACTCGCTCTCAGCTCTGCCTTCGGATGAGTCCGTAGAGTCGAGTGGCCCGTACCCAGAGCTTGTTGGCTGCCTCATGTACCTGATGACCTGCACACGACCTGACCTTGCATACCCTCTTAGCATTCTCGCACGCTATGTTGCTCCTGGGAGACACAGACCTGAGCACATGGCTGCAGCGAAGAGGGTGTTGCGCTACTTGTGCAGTACGTCGGGCATGGGGCTTGTGCTTGGAGGGCAGAGTCCAGTGGTCCTTACTGGGCACGCAGACGCTTTTTGGGCTGACGACCAGGCTACGCAGCGGTCGTCACAGGGTTACACCTTCAGCCTTGGTTCCGGCTCTGTTTCGTGGCGGGCTACTCGCTCGTCTTCTGTTCTCGGCTCCAGTTGTGAGGCTGAGATCTACGCAGGAGCCATGGCTGCACAGGAGCTTCGCTGGCTCACCTACCTACTGACTGACCTCGGAGAGCCGCCTCGTTCTCCTCCAGTGCTGTACGTAGACAACAAGGCCATGCTGGCCTTGTGTCGGGAGCAGCGACTGGAGCACAGAACGAAGCACATTGCTCTCCGCTACTTTCTTGCTCGTGAGCTGCAGCAGCGTGGTCAGCTGCGTCTTGCGTACGTGGCCTCTGAGGCCAACACTGCTGATATCTTCACCAAGGCGCTTGCGCCTTGTGACCATCAGCGCTTCTGTACTCAGCTGGGCCTTGTGCCTACCTTGCCTCACTTGCTCACCTCTTGACCGTGCTTGTACTGTTACATATATATATACCTGCTCTTGCTTGTCTAGCCTTTTTATATATATATGTACTCCTGCATGTGAACTGGCCTTGTGGCCTTGAACTTGTGCTCGGAATGTGTGGTGACTTTGTGATCCACCCTGAGCTTGCTTTGCTTTGCTTTACTTGACTGGTCTTGTGACCCCTTGCTCTCCCCCACTTTGCCTATGGGGGTGTGTCAGAACATTATAGCTCATGCATATTGTGTAGGCTATAGTGGGGTAGCCCATAAGGGTACAACCCAATTAGGGTTATTACTTGTACCCAATTCATTCATAGTTCATTCATTCCTTGTTTCTTTTCATCCATGTGCTCCTTCCGGTGACGGCCGGGAGCGACATAGCGTGCTAGGATGCTAAGAGGGTATGCCAGGTCAGGTCGAGTGCAGGTCATCAGGTACATGAGGCAGCCCACAAGCTCTGGATACGGGCCACTCGGCTCTACGGACTCATCCGAAGGCAGAGCTGAGAGCGAGTGACCGGTAGGCAGAGGAGTGGACTGAGGCGAGGAGTACGTGAAGCGGAAGCGCTGAAGGACCTGCTGCACCATGTGTGACTGAGTCAAGGTAATGGTGCGCTGTGCTCTGTCCCGGTGATCCGCAAGCCAAGATAGCTTGTCAGTTCACCCAGGTCTGTGCACGTGTGTCTCTTCTGCAGTTCCGACTTCACGTGGGCGAGTGCCTCAGTGTCAGCAGTAGCAAAGACCAAGTCGTCTACGTAAACAAGAACGTAGAACGGCGGCAGAGTGGTGTCGGTGCGTAGAAACAGCGACGGGTCAGCAGTAGAAGGAGCAAAGCCAAGAGCAGCAAGAGTAGTCCTCAGTGTGTCGTGCCACTCACGGGGTGCCTGGCGGAGATCGTAGACCGGCCGCCGGAGGCTCCACTGGGTACCAGGAGGGAACGACCCAGTGAAGCCAGGTGGGCGGCGCAGCCAGATCTCCTCGTGCAGGCTGCCCTGTAGGAAAGCAGTGCTGAAGTCAAGAGAGTGGAGCTCGTAGTCACGCTGAGCGGCGACGTGCAGCAGAACCCGAAGAGTGGTCATCTTCGGGGTCGGGGAGAAGGTCTGGAAGAAGTCAACTCCCTCTCGCTGACTGAAGCCTCGTGCAACGTAACGCGCCTTGAAGACAGGCGGAGAACCCGGCGGCCGCTTCACCCTGAAAATCCACATGCCACTGACGATGTTCGCCCTAGGTGGGGGAACCTCGTCAACGTAGGTGCCTGTGGACTTCCAGGAAGCCATCTCTGCGTCCATGGCTGTCTGCCACTGAGAGGAGTAGGGACCCTCCATCGCCTCTGCGTAGGAGCGTGGGGTCGGGATGTCTGGTGCATCCGGGTCTCCCTCAGGGGCAATCAGCATGGACACGAGATGAGGTAAAGCAGCGGCAAAGCACTCAAACTCCTCCTGTCTGTCCTCAAGGACGTCCGTGCCAAGAGCACACTCACCCCCGACAGACGGAGGACAGACAGACTCAGACTCAGCAACAAGGCTAGCGGCGTAGTCTAGACGACAGGCAGCAGCAAAGTCAACAAGCTCAGCGACTAGAGCAGACGCAACAGAGGACTCAAAGGAAGGGTCAGTGACAACAGTGGCAAGGAGACGCGTGACAGTAGGACTGGCAGCACGAAGAGAGTCAGTCTCCTGGTCAGCGAGAGCAGGAAGAGAGGACGCTAGTGGAGACGGCAGTGGGACACGCTGTGGAGCAGTGGAAGGACGCAGGGTCATATAGTGAGTGCCAAGGACAGGAGGAGGACGCTGACGCGGAGCACGACGACCAGCGCGGATAGCGCGGACAGGCGACTCTGGACGCGTCTCAGGCGACGGAGGACGAGACTCAGGCTCACGACGCTCCGTAAGACCTCCCGTCGGCTCAGCGTAGGGAGAAGGACCAGGCAGTGGAAAGGCTGGCTCTAACTGTGACTGTGACTGGACAGGCGGTGGACTCAGTAGGGGAGGAGTAGGACCAAGAGAGGGCGGGAGGCCAAGAACCTGCTGAAGGAGCGGAACGTAGTACGGCCGCGGCCAGCACCTCCAGCAGCTCCAGCAGCACCGCCAGCAGCAGCAGTGCCTCCAGCAGCTCCAGCACCAGCAGCACCTCCAGCAGCGCCAGCAGCACCACCAGCAGCAGCAGCACCTCCAGCAGCTCCAGCAGCACCAGCACCAGCAGCACCTCCAGCAGCGCCAGCAGCACCGCCAGCAGCAGCAGCACCTCCAGTAGCTCCAGCAGCACCAGCACCAGCAGCACCTCCAGCAGCGCCAGCAGTACCGCCAGCAGCAGCAGCACCACCAGCAGCTCCAGCAGCTCCAGCACCAGCAGCACCTCGAGCAGCGCCAGCAGCACCGCCAGCAGCAGGAGCACCTCCAGCAGCTCCAGCAGCACCAGCACCAGCAGCACCTCCAGCAACGCCAGCAGCACCGCTAGCAGCAGCAGCACCAGGGTCCGCGACACCGGGAGCGCCACTCCGGAGACTGTTGCGCCGAGCGTACCACTCTCGGAGCCGCTGGGGAGAGGGCAGCTCCCGCCTAGGAGGGGAAGCACGAGCACCAGCTCCAGCAGCACTCCGAGCTCCAGAAGCACCCCTCCTGAGGCTGCAGTACTGTAAGTACCTCTCACGTAGCTGCTGCGAGGAGAGGCTCCTCCAGATGTAGCACGCTCAGTCTCAGCACCCTCAGGCTCAGTACTCGCAGACGGAGCACTCCCAGGCTCAGCACCCCAGACTCAGCACCCCCAGACTCCGCACCCCCAGGCCAGCACCCCCAGACTCCGCACCCCCCCGCTCCGCACCCCTAGGCTCCGCACCCCCAGGCTCCGCACGCTCAGGCTCAGCACCCAAGCAGGACGAGAGTCGATAGCTACCTCGACAGGCTCAACCGGGTCTACCTGGGACACACCTGAGGGAGCGGCACCCTGAGGGGGAGGGGGTCTACCACAGTAGCACCTGGTGCGAGGAAGAGAGGCGGGGGGGGGAGCGGGGCAGTGCGGTAGGGGAAGAGGCGGTAGTAGGAGACCGACTCGTCGAAAGTGACGTCCTGAGAGGGCAGGACACGGCGCGGGTGGCGTGGTAAAACTGCCAACCAGACGCGTCCGGGACAAAGCCAGGAAGACACAAGGAACAGCGCGGGAGGAGAGCTTGTCCGCGGACGTATCGCGGACAAAAGCTCGAGATCCCCAGACCGAAAACGCGACGCATCGCCAACCTCTCCCGTCCAACGCAGTGTCGGCGAAGTCTCCGGAACGGAGACACGGGGCCAGACGTTGAGCTGATGCGCAGCGTATCGGACCGCAAACGGCCACAGAAAGTGGGGGGCAGCCGCATGGATCAAGGAGGTACGAGCGACCTCCATGACCAAGCCAATGCAGCGCTCAGCTACCCCATTCTGCTGTGGAGAGGCCGGAAGCGTGAACGACTGCTCATGCCCTCCCCCTGATAGAAGGCCCTCAAGAGGTCGGAGGAGAACTCCCCACCTCTGTCAGAGCGCAGACGCAGGACAGGAAAGTCCGAGTGGAACCTCTCGCTGAGCTGGAGACGGGCAGCGCGGATCCAAGGGATCAAAACATCAGGGACTTCACCCTTGGTGCGCAAGGGGAAGACCGTGGTGTAGCGCGGTAGTCGTCAACAACTATCAAGAAGTACCTCTCGTGACCCTGTCCACGGACGCGGGCTGGGCCCCCACGTCCATGTGGAGCGTCTGCGGGGGAGCAGTCGTCGGGGGAAACGAGAGGAGTGAGGAGCGGCACGCTGCCGCCCTCGACACAGGGAAGACAGGGAGGAGCAGGCCGAGGGTGGGAGGGGAGGGAGAACCCTGGAAGACCAGAGACAAGGTACCGGGAGTGGCATGCGACGAAGGCGCTGCACTGACGGGT